TTAGCTTTTATGTGAGAAAAAAGAGTCATAAGTCGAACCTCTAAAACACTCTTCAAAATTGAATTTCTATTTATATAAATGTTTGTACATAGAATAAAAACAAAGCTCAATTAGAAAAGAATTCTATGATGCCCTCTATCTTGATATACTCTTTCAAAAAAAAAAGCAACATTGCATGTATAGAATGAAAGACCACCGAAAATTCTGGATTGTGAGATCGAAAAATTATAAATAAAGAAAAAAAGAAAAACGTTTCTTTCTTTTTGCTAAAAATAGCTTGTTTCAGAAGCAGATAACGACACAATGATCAAAAGTTTGGCAAATAAGAAGCATCATATGAAAAATCACATCATTTATAAAAGATTGACTTTTAGATTATTTTTTCATTTATTTATCTTAGTTTTTGGTTTTTTTTTTTCATGAAAATGAACTTATTTTAAGGAGAAAGGTCTTACATAGAACTATTAGTAATGATTCACCTTTCGTCGAATAAATAATAAATTCGACGAAGCATAGATTCGAATGATGTATACAAAAATGAATTGCAACATGCATCTTGTATTATATTTTAATGTGTCGCAAATTGTGTTATAGAGTACAAATGCATTTTATGCTCGCATGATTACTTCATCCAGACGCTTCTTCTATCAAGTTGCATGAAAAATATTAGTCGAATTGCTATTCAAATTTTTTATCATTTAAAACAATAAATACATTACATAACCCCACAAAGGAAAATCATTCAATATAATTTATTCTTGATCAATCACATACAAATTAAATAAAAATATACGCTGGAATTAACATACATAAAACTAACAATACACAAATAAACAAACGAAAAGAAAAACTCTATTAAAAATAATATTTTTTAATGGCAAACATGTTTGTCTTTATTGCATTCAGCTTTACAAGCATGTTCTTGTTCCTTCATTCTAGCTTTACCAGCTTCGAATGCAGCATCAACACGTTCACTTGGTTTTACAGTTGGATCACTAGCTTTGTTTGCTTTATCCTCGGCTTTTTTGCCTTGTACAGCTTCTTTTGCTTTTTCAACACCAGCTTTAACAGCATCCATTTTTTTCTAATTAAAAAGAAAACTATGAACTATAAGACAAAGTACCTTTTTATTTTATAATACATACACAATTAGAATAGTTGTAGAGAGTAGTTTCGTATACTAAAAGAATGAGAATAAATGCATGAATTCGACGTATTTATTCACTCCAAGAAAAACAGACTCAATTCCCTTTTTCTTTCTTCCGTTCCATTTTTTTTTATTTAGTATACAGAAAGGAAGAAACAGAGGTTATTGACTACAAAATTATATCCCTTTCATGTGTGTACGTCACGTGGCTGGTAGGCGTGCTCTTTTTTGTCCTCGATGCACTGCAAGATAAAAAAAAAAAGGGGTGTGTGATTAAGAAGTTGCTTTTGTTGTGATCTATACATTTTGTATGATACTATATTGTTGACTAGCAAATATTACTCTAGAATAAATGTCTTTAGAGTGTATACAACATTCTTATATTGTTATATATAAAACAAGAGATTTTTTTTTCTAGAACTTTTATTGAGCATTAAATATAAATCAGAAAAAGTGAATAAAATGATAACAGCTTGAATACAATACTATGAAATATTAATATGCAAAAAAAAAATTAATTTAATGTTTATGATCATATGATCTGCAATCGGCTTTGCATGCATGTTCACTTTCTTTCGTCGCTGCTTTAGCTGCATCATGAGCAGCATCCATACGATCTGATGGTGATCTTGATGGATCCGAAGCTTTTTCTATTTTTTCTTCAGCTTTTTTGCCATGAACTGCTTCTTGTATCTATGAATAAAATATATTTAATTAAAATATATTATAAAAATATTTCAATAAATACTTTATGTGCACCAGCTTTGAGAGCGTCCATATTTAAGTTTCAAACAAGATAATAAGTGTTTGTATGTAGAAAAAAAGTAATGAATAAATAAACAGCAAGAAACATTTGATATATATATACATATACATATGATTGTGGTTACGCTTGACTGCCGTCGTCATCATGATAATTAAATAAGATTGAATATGCACTTTTCCTTCTTAAATTACTTTCTTACTCTATGCCACCTTCTTCTTCGAAAAAAAGAAAGGTAACGTCGTCATTCAGTAAATTATTAGTAAAAATAAGACCTTATTCGTTATTTGACACGTGATGTTTTTAACTTTCTAATTATCTATAATAAGGATTTTTTTTTTAGTTACGTAAAATTGTCTAAAGCATGACTCGTTGCATTATTATTTGAAAAATAGTTAATTATAAATGACTAGATTATTTTAAGGTTAATGAGGAAGTTTATTCAAATGTGTAAGTGTTCATTTTCAATGAATTTTATGCAAGTTTGTAAAAATTCAATGAGCTAATTACGATAGTATGATGTATTTATTATCAGAGATTATCTTTGACGAATTCAATTGATCACAACTTCATAAATATGATAGAAAGATATTATTTCGAAAATTTTATTACTGAATACATCTCAATTGACTTTAGACATTAACATAAATTGAATGTCTAACAATGTCTATATTTTGAATACTTCAATATCATTACTATTATGGATATATATGGAATTCAGCTTATTTTTTTTTTCAAAATCTATCTAATTCTATTTGTGTATGTTCATCTATTTAGAATATATGTTGATCATGTTTCAATTACCTGTCTTATCTATTGTAATTTTTCATAAAACGTGAGAAAACAACTAAATAGAATATAAATTATACAGAACGAGATATCTGACAAGGCTTTATTTTCCTATGTTCTTAAAATAATATTTTCTAGGGAATCGTAATTGTTATAGTAAGAGTCTGCATGTGTACAAACAATCAACATACATGAATTACTAATGTTTAGAATGTTAAGAACTAAACTAACAAAAAAAAAAAACAAAAATTAATTAAAATTTTTCAAAATAAATAGTTTATTCATTTTTCAATACTCAATAAGGACAATCTATGAAGAAAATTTTATACTATCGTGATCAGCTTATTGAACTCAACAAACTTACATAAATCCGACTGAAATCAGAGACTCACCATTGCGAATGCTCCCTTGTTAGCAACATAATATCAAAGATTTCTTTTTCAAATAATACATTATTAATATTAAAATATTCTCTTTTTCTTTCTATTACAACATCAAACATCTACATTGTTGCGTATTTCGTTAATTACTAAGAAAATAGATTTTTCCATACACTATTTACAATGTGCGTCTATGTTTGATTGATTGACAAAATCCTTTTTTTTTTCATACTAATTTTTCAATAAGTCGACATTTATTATGACAATTTGATTAGAATAATATAGTTTATTAATTATTAATATGAATATTAACACAGAAATTATTATTTAATAAATATAAAAGAGCATTTCGTTTTTCTTTTGTTGCTTGCAATTTCTGCAGAAATCTGAGTTCCTCTAATTAGAACAATCAGTATTTCTTTATCATTGAAAATATTCACTTGCATTCTATATAAACTAATGCAGTACTCTACTCAGAGTTGTTTGTACATTTCATACAAAAACAAAAAATAATAAATTGCGCATTTTGTAATTTTATAAAAGATAATGCATTTCAAAAGTTTATTTATAGAATTTTGCACATTATAAGCAGGTTTGTTGTTCTCTATTGTAAAAATAAAGTATATATTTGTCTAAAAATTATAAGATCGATTACGAGCGCTACTATCGATTCCAGAGATTAATTATGATCATAGAGATTTTGTTTTCTTCGTATTCTTATAACTTCGCCGACTATTATTGTCTTGCCATCACATTCATGTGTTATTTTCGTTTGACAGTCAATTCGGCGTTCGCTTTTTTTTTTGTTTTTTCTTTCTTTCTTCTCTTTCATCCGTCAGCCTTGACCAGTCGCAATATGAGAGAAGAGTAAGGGCACGTTATTGTTCTTTCTCAATAGAGAGATGGACGACGAAATTCTTGTTTCTTTCTTTTTTCTTGTTCTATTTGAAGGTCAGTTCAAACATTCTACCGCACACTAGAATATAAACGATTTAGAAATACTGCTCCACCCATCGTGTTCTCAATGATATCAAAGTGAAGTAATTGAAAAAACAACATCAATTATCTATAAATGGTATCTCCAAAAGTTCAATCCAAAAACTCTCAAATTTCGAATAACAATAACATACAGTCATCTTTATTATTAATAAATTCAAATCAAGTGAAAATTGAAGATGAACTTGATGAAATTAAAATCTTTTCTGTATCAACAGTACATAACAATGAATCAGATGATGAACCAGATTATAGACAGTTTGATATTGAAGATCGACTTTCACCAGTTGTTGAAGAACCTGTAAGATTTTTTTTTATTATTAAACAACGTATTCATTAGAGAATCTTTTATTTTTTTTTGTTATTTTTCTTAGACTAGTCCAAAGAAGACTGATTCATTGAATTATGATATTTCTGGTTTATATACATCACCTTTTCTTTATCCATATTTTCATCCTTATTTTATGGCTGCTGCAGCACAAATAAATTCATCAACAGTAAATATATGAAGTTTATTTTAAGTTTTTCGAATAGATTTTTTTTCGTTCAGGATAGAATATCAATAAATGGACGAATGAATAATCCATTTGGTACTGTACCACCATTTGCTGGTATGTTATTTCAAACGATTGAATACAATATAGAGAATAAATTTTAACCTATTACCTGTATGAAATACATACGTTAGTTAATAGGAAGATCGAGATTTCAAACGAATCTATAAACGTAAACAAATGAGAAACTGTGTCACATTTTAACCATGAAATCAGATCGAATTGACGAAAATTTAGTTTGATTATATAGTTTCAATCATTTTTAGGTATGCCATTTTTTCCTTTATATCCTTCTGGAATGATAAATCAATCATTTCAACCAAGTCTTTTAAATCCATTTGGTATACCAATACCAACATCTGATGTTCATCCATCGAGTTCATCTAATCGACAACGTCAATCCTCATTACCACATTCTATTAATGATAAACCACATAAAAAGTAAAGAAAAGTTTTTTTTTCGTATGTTGTTTTTTTTTTATCTTTTCTTTTAATTTAGTTTAAATGCAATACTTCATATGAAACGTTCGAAAAAACCTCATATAAAAAAACCTTTAAATGCTTTTATGATTTATATGAAAGAACAACGTGCACATATTATAGAAGAATGTACATTAAAAGAATCATCAGCAATCAATAAAATTCTTGGTCAAAAATGGAAAGAATTATCACGATCAGAACAAGATCGATATTATGGTAGAATAACAACAAAAAAAAATTCATATTTCATACTTAAAAAATAATAAGTTATTTTTATTTATATAGAATTAGCAAAAGAAGAACGTAATCGTCATATGCAAATGTATCCAAATTGGTCAGCACGTGATAATTATGGAATGAAGAAAAAACGACAAATAGGTCGAATAGAAAAAAATTGTTCTCAAGAACATGATAATAGTCTACAAAAAAGTTCAATAAATACTTCGAAACAACTTGATAATGGTAAATGAATCTATAAATCAATTCCTATTAGATTAATTATTTTGTGAAGCACGATTTATAAAATGTTTAGAGTTGGAAATTTCAACCCCCTTGCCCTGTCCCATAAAGAATTCATGGCATTAAATGTGATGGAAGCGGTTTTTATATTAGTTGCACAAATCATCGGTCACTAGGTAGAAAAAATTGAAAAATGCTCTCTGTCGGAGTCTGATAAAGAACACATCATTTCCTTTAGAATCCAATGTTAGTAACCTTATCTGATTGCCTTTGATTGTGTTACTTTCATATTAAGTGAAGATGCAATTGAAAAACCGATGCACGAAATTTTGATTGCTAGTAGGTCTAAATAGTCTATGAAAGTATTGACGAGGACTATATATTCGAGTGTAAAAGAAATTAAACTCGTTAGCCCCTGTTGAAAAAAAAGATTAAAGATCATATATCAATAATGACTCGTTCTAATACGGTGCTGAAGGTAAGGAAACAGTAGATCCTGTTAGCTGTAAACAGTGTTCTAATATATATAAACTTTTTTTTTTTCCTGAAGATTAAGAATAAAAGATTAATAAACTAATATTTTTTATTATTGTTATTTAGATTGTTTAAATCCGAAGAAATGTCGTGCTAGATATGGTTTAGAAGGTTTTGATCAATGGTGTAAACATTGTCGACGAAAAAAAAAATGTACAAAATTTCTTGAAGATGATTTATCAAATCATAGAACTTTAAGAAATCCGTTAAGTAATGGAAATCCATCATCAGTTGGTTCACAAGCTACACTTCAATCTGATGAAGATTCAACAAATGATATTGATAGTGATGATATATTATCACGACAAATTGATTCAATTGAAGATGAACATGATGATAGTAATGAAGAGAATAAACAACAATTTTTTTTTTCATCATCAAATTTGCCATTACATTTTGTACCTAATTTTCGTTATTGATACACAATTCTTTTTGTTTGTAAATAAAATTGTTTCATTTAAATGATAAATTTTATATTTGAATTCTTGAGTTGGGTTATTTTAGATAAGAAAAAGAGAGTAAAAAAAAAAACAAAGTTTTTTGAGAATTCGAAATTCATAGTTTTAAAAAACACATTATTATTATGAAAGAAAAATTTAGTTGATTGAAGTTTATCTAAAAAGAGCTTAACATAGCTTTATTTAGTTATCATTCGAAATAACAGATATATATATATGAAGAAAACTTCGATCAGAGCCATTTGACATTTGATGATAAAAAGTTATATGCGATTATCTTGAAAGTTAAAGAGGTGATTTGGAATTACTCGGTGAGATTGATAAATGATCGAAAAAAATTAAATTATATATTTAAATTCAACGAAACAAGAAAATACTTTAAATACTAAACTTCTATGACTAGAGACTTGTTGATATTGATAATGGAACGACAAAAATACTATTTATCTGTGAATGAATTGGGATTTTTAAGTACGATTGAGATTTTAATTGTATTTGATGAAAAGTTTCTGTTTCTGTGGGCTGAATTGGTCGTCTTTTTTTGACATTTTTATGCTTCTGTATGTGTCACACATATACATTTCATTTCAGTTCTTTACCTTACACACTTATTCAATTATGAAAGACGTATAACAAGAAAAATACAATTATTTTAGCGATGTGTGTCAATGAAAAGAATAATGTTTTGATTTTTATAAAGAACAGGATTAAAAATGTCAGTAATTCAATACGTAGTACGTTTCGCGTTCTGTTGAAATGTATTATTTACTTCGTTATGTCTTCGATAGACGTCTACATTTTCTGATAAATACTCGCATCTATTTGTGTATAGTGACAATAACTCGACTCTAACATACCACATCAAGAAAACTTAACAACAAAAATCTGCTTCTGTACCAAACAAATGACAAACATTTGTCTCCTATCAGCGTTATTTCGAAGATCAAATAAAATAACATTCTGAAAGACAAAGCTATTCCTCTCCGTTGAGAGTGACGCTTATTTGTAATCGAATATACTCTAAAATATTTCTTTCAAATGTAATTTAACCTGAGCAGAAAACAATTAGTGATTTTGTGTATTTCAGATCCTTGTTGATAGTTGTTTTTGTATAATACTAGGTAAAATAATGTGAGCCTTTTCCATGAGTAAAAGTATCCTTATATTATTGAAATTGCATTGGATGGCGTGTATCTCAGTTAATATTTAATGATTTATTAGAACACTTTTGCTATGTAACATGAATACAGAGTATAATAAAATAAATTTTTTAGACATGATTTTGACTTATTTTCATTTTTTTTTCACGAGTCGTATAGCAAAATGTAATTCCCTCTTATATTAAATAATTATGTTTTATTACAATATATTATTAGTTGATAGAATAAATAATGAACATCTTGATTAGAATAAGAATTACGAGATATACACCTATGATTATACACATTCATTTGATTATTCTTAACTTCTAATGATAATATTTAGATTTTTCACGTTTATTGTTTGAAATGATATAAATAATTAATAAAATCATACGATGTTGTGAATTCGATAGAAGTTAGTTTTTATAGAAAATTTTTTTATCAAATAAAAAAAAATTTATAATTCAATCAATCACTATTTAATATTCTTTCTAGATTCTCGATTACAATAAAAAAAAAACCTAGATCTTAAATTTTTGACAAGATTCCTATAGTTCAAATTCATATTTGATGAGACAAGATTCGTTGTATTCTTTGTTCTTGAATCTGATATGTTTATTAATCGAAAAACAAAAAAAGATGAAAGAAATTTATTTCCATTGAAAATATATACATACTTTTTTAATTCATCTTCTTTAAATTAATCGCCTAGAATTGATAATAATTCAGCTATCATTCAATTCTTTGTGTTTAGATATGCTATCAAATATGTTCACTTACCTAATACTGAAATGTAGCAGATATATGTTTTTGAATAGAATATTTCTCGTTGATTAAATTCAATACAACAATTCATAAGTATCATTTGTGTGGAAACTAGAATAAAATGACGTATCGATGTTGACATATTTACATACGTCACGCAACATTTGTTTGAAAGATTAAACAAGATTCTTATGTTGTTTTGTTGTCTGTCATCAAAAACAAAAAAAATTTGTTTGACCTCAGAATCAAAAAAGAATGTTGCTCGGTCATCAAGATAAACAACAAGAATGTCAACTAATGATTGAATATATACTTAACAACTGACATTACAACATACTAAAATGATGTCGCAAACATCGAATCGTATATCAATGTCATCTTGTAATGATTCTTCAACATGAAAGAAATTTGATACTTGAATAATAAATTCAATAGAACTAATTTATAATCCATATAGTACATTAACATATTGACATCTATAATAAATTTCAGTATTTCTTAGTTTTAGAATTGATGTTGTAGCTATTCTATTAATATTATATCTTTAACAAATGATTCATAAGATTTTTGTTCAGTTTGATATCTGTATGTGTAAATATTATTTAGTTATTTTTTTGAGAAATGTATACGTTTTTATGAATCTAATGGAACTCTGTGTGATTTCATAACAATTCTATTTTTATAAAGCACATGAGACAATAGGAAATATATAAACTGATCTTAGTTCTTGATTATCTATAGATTTGATGATTTTTATTTTGTCGATATATGTATCTTATTAATTTTAGAAGTTTTTGATAGCATTTAGATAAAAAGAAACAATAGACTTCAGCATGTATGTTTTCTTCATAACATCAATCGAGAAATATCTTTTGTAAGTATGTTAAATACAGATAAAACCATAGCCAGAGAAGAATACGTGAGCATTTAAATAATCTCGGTTAACAACAGACTGTATTAAGTGGAAGAAAAGTTAAATTTTCGTCTCTAATAAGAACATTATTTTCAATATATTAAGTTTCCTTTTTTCTTAGATATTTTCTAATCATCTATTAGGATTCACAATGATTAAGTGCTATTATGCGTTGATATCTTGAAAGTTTTTATTCTGTAAAAATCTAGAATTTAAGATGTTAATTGACCTAGATAAGTATATCATATTTATATTCTAAGTATGATATAAGTGTTCGAGTGAAAGCTAGTGCAATCTTTTTTTTTTTTATAGAAAAACATTGAACAAAAACTTGAAAATTTAAATTTAATCTTAAAAACATTAGATTTTAATCAAACTAGAAATAGCGTCCTTCATATCGATGTTTGGAATAGATTTGAGATTGGTATGAAGATAGCGAAGTACAATATTCTAAAACAAAACAACATTGAAAGCTGTCATAGGTTATAGTTTAATAGGATATTTGATTAATATTCACATATTGCACTCTGTGTCAATGAATTTAATTGTTATTCATGTTTATGTATGAATAATAAAAATAAAAAAAAAGAATCACCATGTATTTTGAAAATCGACATGATGCTTTATTTGAAATCTAGTATTTCATTATAATATATAGAAAAAGGTTCATATGAATTAAAGCAGATCGAAAACATCTGTAAGTCTTTGAATATTTTAAGCAATTATCGTAAACACAAAACAAGTGAATCGACAACACAAGACTAACTAAATTTCACTGATCGAAGTCATCAGAAATCAGTTTATTCATCATTGTATATTATTACATATTAAGAACTAATCAAATACAATCGTTTCTCTTTGATTAAATCAATGGAAATACATTTCTATCATCTAATATAAAGTCTATTAAGATATTTATTTTCTTTTATTTTATAATTGTATTTCAGTAGTTTTAAGTGTATTTTGACTATCAAGTGGTGTAGCTGAATTTTGTTCATTCTTCTTTTGTTGTCGTAGAGGAATACAATCAATTAATTTAATAAAATCTCTTCGAAATGTTTTTGATATAATTAAATGAATATAAAATTTCGATGAATAATTTAAAGCTGAAAGTATCAAAAACCAATTCAGTAAAATTTTATATGTTTTCCATCTTATGGAACATAATATATCATCATTAAAAAGACGATCATGTACAATAAAAATTTCTAATATAACCGTTGGTAATAAAGAAAATAAAATAAATATTGACATCGATAATATTAATATAGAATTTCTTTTCATACGACGTGCAGTTTTACTTAATTGATTATTATTATGTAATTTTCTTTGATTACAACGATTATGTAATAAAATAACTGATGATATAAATGTTATTATTGATGGTAATGAAACAAATAATATAGCATGTAAAAATGGCCATATTCGAACTCTCCAATGTTTAATAACTGTATCAAATTCACAAATAAATATTGTTGTTTTTTTATTAAAATAATAATAAAAATGATGTGGAATCATAATCAATATAACTATGATAAAAATTAATAATAGACGAATGAAAACATGACGTCGAGTAATTACAAGACGAAAACGTGTTGGATATAGTATCATATAAGTACGATCGATAGATATCGATGCTAAATATAGATTTGATAATATTGTTGGTCCCATTAAAATACTATAGAATATGCCACAAGAAAATATTTCTCGAGGATCAGTCTTAATTATAGACATGCGAACACACCATAACCACAAGATACCTTTTAAAGATAATTTATCATTCTGAGATATTAAAATAGAAAAATTTTTATTTTTTCAAAAAGGATCTCGTGATACTAAATTTCAGGTATTGAGTACATGCAGTGATTATTTTAGTGTTCTTAAAAGATTATTTGATGGATAAGATTAATTTATATTTTGTTTTTCATAACTTTCAAAGAGAATTATCATTGTGTCAATCAATTGGTTATTCATTGTTACTATATTGAATTTAAATAATATATAAATTCTACTTTATGTCATGATCAGTTTCTAATCTGTTACTCGTTATATACAAGAAACTATCTAATATCGTGTAGAAATCCATAATTCAATAATACTAGAATATTTTTTGAGTTATGATTTGAAAAGTAAAAACATATGTTCTTTTATACATCACGAATTTCAAGTCTATAATTTTCCTAGAAAAATGTTTATTATGAATAAAATAATCCTAATGGAAGTACAAAGAAAAATATTGAGTTTTTCAATATATCAAAGATCTACTTTAATAAATAAATGAATCTATATTCCATTCGAAACACATATTGAAGTATGAGTTAACAGAGTTTTGTATAAATTAATATTTTCTATTAATAGAAACAGCGTCAATGTAAATGAATTTCTATTGTGTTGATATCTTTATTCTATTATTTCGAACTATACAATAAATTATCAATAGTCTAAATCTTCTCTCTGACATTTCTATTTCCGATTAATGAAAATTATTTCATCAAAATTGATGCAAATTCAAACTACATACTAGTCTATATGAAAATGAAAAAATATCAGAATGTTTACAAACCAAAAAGAAATATTAATTCACATATGCCAATAGATATAAAATATAATGACATTGATTCTTTACGATTAGTTTGATTTGACATAATTACAATTTGAAATAAATGACCAGGTATACCAAACATAGCACATAAAAAACCACATGCACGCCAAATATTATATGATATATGTAATACATTGTCATAATCCCAACTATTACAACGAGTATCTATGCTTGTGTTATTCATTGTTGATGTATAGACTAGCTTCGTATCATCATCATGAATGTCTAGATGGATTTATCGGAAAGAAGATGTGTCTGAGTGAGTGAGTTTTACTAACACGTCCTTTTATTCCCATCGAAAAACAATATGAAGAAAAGAAAGACAGAAAGAAAAAGAAAAGACTTTCTTCATACTATTAAGAACGATTCCTATGGAAACGTTAATGATGAAAAAGAAAAGAAAAATGATCCTTATGATTGTTTTTCGTTGAATGAAGGAACACAATTAATGATATATCTTTTTTCTAAGATCAATTTTGTTTAATATTCAAAACTTGGTTTAGGTCTCTAAAAGTACAATCATTTATTCTTTTATAAAAAAAAAAAACCGTCGGTCGGTGCAATTCCTGCGCGATTAAAATATAAAATATGTATATGTCAGAAATTGAATCGAACCAAGTTTTACTGGTTTGTGTTCGATTTGTTTTTATTCTTTTAAAAATAGTTCCGATTCTTTTTCAGTGTCGGGTACGTATTGTCGTTTCTCATAAGATAATTGTTTTATTCTATATATTTTGGGAAACATTTCTGCACTATCACTTTACTTAATCTTCCAGAAATGTTATAATGAAGTAGTTTATAGATCATAAACAGATGTTATTGATATACGAATATATATAGTATATCAACGTTTGTCACGATCTGTAGGAGAGTGAATCTGACTTTCTATTTTCATACTTCCAGATCGTTATAGATTATGCTTCATAAATCGTGAGATGGCACAAAATTAGTTTATACATAAACACAGACTAGATCCTAGTTCAATATTTTTAAATGAGCCTCGATATATTCGGATTAATCTTTCAAATAGCAAATATTTTCAGATTGTCTGGATGAAATGAACCATTCTTGACCAAAGTTAAACAGAAGATTTCTCGAACAAGAGACAGCCGTACTTATTCATTGAAAATTTTGTATATGTGAAGCATTTTTTTGTGCAAAACTGATAAAAATAAAACTCTAATGTCTTTTATTAAATTTCCAACACTACTTTATTACTTAAAGAACTAGAAATAACAGTTATATCATTGAAGTTTGATCTACAGTTTGACATCATTGGATCCTCTGTTATTGTTGTCACAGCTGGAAAATATGATTTTTTTAAAGCATGTGCAAAAAGAATGATGAATGCTTTACTCTAATATTGTGGTGATAACTCTTTCTAGAAACAAACTTTCAAAGAAAATATTTACCCATCGTAAGATGTGTTATCTTAGCTATAAACACAAATTAAAAAAATTCGGTCAGAGCAAGAACCTTTTGAGAAATGTGGACTGTTTGAAATTACTCTAATGTAAGGAGTCCTTTCGCATGAGAGTACCTTTATCTATGTGCAGTGTAAATTTCAGCTCTTTGTCACTTTCATTTATTGAATTACGACGAATCCAAAAGTAATAAATGAGTGAATTTGTTACGTGTGGACAAACTGTTTTGTTGTAATAATAAATGTAGCAACGAAGCAGACGGAAAACATAGTCGGCTCATGTTGAAGTTATTGTATACTAGCCTACAAACTAGAAACAAATAGTCTTTGCTGCCGAGACTACAATCTGTCTGAATTACATCAAAATACCGGCCTGGAACATATGAGGAAGAAAACAGTGATGCGAACCATCACCGATCCTGTTAAAGTCAATGTTAGAGGTTGTTTATCAAGTTGAGATTTTGGTCGTGTTGTCTGTTTCAGGTAGAATCTAGGGACGAAATTGAAGATATGGCATTGATAATTGTGGCTCCTTACTAACATCTTGGAAATAATTTGGCTACCAATCGGCGTTATGGAAACTAAAAGAACATGACGACTTTAAATAGACGTCAAAACATACAACTTATCAATCCTGTAACTAATGTGACAAAGCACGAATAAAAGAGTTCTACAACCAAAGTTGATGAAGGTCAGCATGACCTTATATTACGTTAATGATCAGAGTGTACTAGGAGCTTGTAGATAACATGAATATTTTCATTTGATCAATTATTTTGATAAAGTTTGCCTAAGAGAGCGACTTTTGTTCGTTACTGTATGTACAATGATGAATTTTGAAAATCTATATCATTCTTTGTTTGAGAGCTAGTATTTCATTAAGATATTTAGAAAAAGTTAATATAAATTCAAGTAGATCGAAAACATTTGTAAGTCATTAGAAAATTTTACATAATCCCATCTATCTTATTGTAGATCATCAAGAGACGACGAACTCAATTTTATTGAACGAAATCATCCGAAATCCGTTTGTTCTCCTTTGTACATCGTTTCATAGAACAATCTAAAAAGACAATCGTTTCTCTTTGATTAAATCAATAGGAATGCATTTCTATCATCTAATATAAAATCTAATAAGATATTTATTTTCTTTTATTTCATAATTATATTTCGGTACTTTTTCGTTTATTTTGGCTATTAGGTGAAACT